GTTCGAAGGCTGTGTGTGCTTTTAGTAGTTAGTAAGGCCAAAGCTACGGAATGAGGTTTAAATATCTAGAGCTTGGAATCCAAGATTCCTCGCCGAGAGTGAAACCTATAGCCGGTGCCAAGGCTATTTGCATGGTTTATTATGTTTATAATTTACAGATTTTTTTGTATCCATATTTTCTGGGAAAATCTGGAACTGTGGCCTCTGAAATAATGTTAGTATCTTCATTTTACTGTATTTTATTCTTTATGCTTTTGTGTATTATTGTTAGGGTTTTAAATTATTTTCTATTCAGAATTGTTCTGATGTTGAATTAGATATTTTTTAATGTGTTATTTATTTTGAATCTTTTTGATTAAGTATCATTGTATCTTCGAAAATGAAATATTGTATTTTGTATTTTATTACAGGTTATGCTCAATTTTCCTGACCTATGAGGAGGATTCTATTTTGATACTAAAGTGTATAAAGTATGTATTTTTTTTTGAATTATTCTTTTGTATCTTGTTGTTTTGTAATTAATTATGTCTTTAGAAGGATATGATGTTGTTTTGTTGAAGGTTGGTTATAATCTCCACATCTTGCCTTCTGGATGGATTTTTTATCTCTGCTCTATTTGCAGAAAATGTAATTATATTTGTTCACAATATTGCTATTAATACTTTATATTTTATTGCAATTACTATTAATTGGGGAATTCTGGTGTTTGGAATTTATTTGAAGTGTATTTATTTCATATTGCGACATTAATTTCAAACTTCTTATATAGTTTACTTTTTGTCGTTAAGGTAAAATTGTAGTATACTTCACCATGAGATCCGATGTGCCCTGCTTCATGACGATTGGTTACTGATGCTGGACTTTCTCGGGACTAACGCTGGATTGATTATAACGTGCTGGTACCTGGTAGTGAGTTGAATATATTTTCGTTCCTCCAGTCATTCAAACATGTAGAATGAAAGATTCGTATCGACATGGGTGACTGGTTGTATTATATGCATTTTCGGCAAACATAGTGACCATGGGTATTTATTATACGTGTGAGCAGTAACTTTTTTTCTGTTTTTTATTTATTAGCACAGGATAGGTTTTCTTGCACACTAATTTGTAAGCACATGGAAAGTATTTCATCCGAATTTGTACATTTTTCGTACAAAAATATTTTAGAAAGTCTAGAATTAATTATTTCTTCTACGATAATTATATCTGTAAAGGGTTGTTCTTTTTTCTTTTCTCTAATTTCTCTCATATTATATCCAGCTTTTAGTAAAATTTATTTGAGCTAATAGGCTTTTATTAATATTGATAGTATTTTAATTTACTGCATAACTTTAGATTTTTAATTTACTGCATGAGAAAAACTATCGTAATACCGTAAAACGTGGATAGAATTCTTCTATGTAATTCTGATATGTAGTGAAATAATTTCAGTTAGTTACTAGCTTTCGGTATTGAAAATATGATAACACTGTAATGGATTTCAAAAATCATGTTTTTGGCGCATTTACTACTTGATCATCAACTTCGATCGTTTTACTTGATGTAGTTCCCCAATTCATCGTTGTTTAAGTATAGAGTGCGCTAAATAGCCACTGATTTTTTAGTATGTCGGTATTTCAGAGCATGGGACACGAAATGCCATAAGATGTTTGGTCTATTCATTCCTTGTTTCTGGTTTAGTTAATGGTCAGATTTATTTTTTATCTCGTTTGTGATATTAGTTGTGCATCGCTAATATTAAAAACGATACAGAAATTAATAGTCGTTATATCACAGACGAGGGATTGTATACTGCATAAAAAATGTCGGATATAATTTTCTTCTCATTTTTCACACGTACAATTTTCTCAGTGTTTCTCAAAAATCTGCAGACAATTCAATTTAAATTTAAATATCGATTTTATTTGTCGAATGTTCATGTATCTTGTGTTTCAGTAGTTTCGAGAAATTGCCGCAAGATGGCCGCGGAGCGTGGTCGTGCACCTGTAATGACAGCACGTGCTACAGCTGAGTGGCGGTCTCCTTCTTGGAAAAGTGAGTATAATCGTGTTTTAAAAGTATTTACTGTTTTCCTGAGCTTGCTTGCTGTTTTTCCATTATTGTATCTATCTCGTGCCACGAACCGTGCCTCCAAATTCCCTGAAATATCAATCTATTCATTGGAAACGATCCTCGTATTTACTCGATGCTCGCACATGTACCGCCAATGCCACTCCAATAAATTGCTGATCGGTAAATAACCTTGATAGAGAATGATGTCTACTGATAACAAAACACTTATGACGACGTAATCCAGACATGGGTGAAAATGTGGTAATAGCTGCGAAGAGTGTGGATAGTTCTGCTTTAGCTTGAAATCGGACTGCCTTTCCTGTACTAACCTAACCCTTTGCATATATATTTCAGAGCATCGTTAAATAGCACGCTATATCACGTAAAATATATTTTGATACAAGTAATAAGTCGAGATCGGGAAACGTTATTTTGGCGTTGTATTTCGGTTTGCAATCGTTGTTAATTCGTTGGTGAATGTGTTATTTGAAAATTATCGATTCGGAGTTGGAGGTAGGATTTGTTCGTATCGATTGCGATTTATGTGTCAATTTCGCGTATTGGAGCAGTGTGATCTCTGATATCAATACACAAGGTGTATTGATCGTTCTTTTTTTATTTGTTGTACGATGACTATTACATCTGTATTATATTTATATTTGTGAAACTAACTGAAAGACAGATTTTTACAAATAGATCTTTTGTAGAAAGAAATCTCAGATATTGTTTGTTCGATGAACATTGCGTGTTAATGCGAAATATCATATAAAATAATTTTATCTTATAGATTATATAAAATTGGAGTACAAACATTATATTACAGAGTTTTAGTAATATTTGCTTGTACGAAATATCATAATTATTTAGATAATAATTATTCTGTTTTTTGTCAAAATGTTTCATTAAAATGATTCTGAAATTAAAATTATTCATTTATTCATTTCGTATGATAGAATTTAATAAAATCTATAGCAATTTGTATAGATATGAAACACTTCTGAACTAAAGTTGTAATAATTATACAATTACTTACTCCAAAAATATATTATCTATGACAGTATATTACATTTTGTATTTTTATTTGTAAAATGTAATTAATTCATTTCTTTTAAATTAAAATTTTTTGCAAAGATGTAAATTTGATATAATAATTTGAATTTAATAATAATAATAATTTTAATTCACTGGATATGTTATATCATTGATTTTATAATTCATATGTGCTATTGTGTTTTAATCGTTACGATACATTAATGTTTAATCATAATCATTTATAAAGTTTATAAAAATAATTGATGCAAAATGTATTACCCCAATGTTTCTCAAATCTGTTTAACAGTAATAATGAGAATATCTAGAAATTGTTAAAAATATTGTTAAAATTATCTTATCAAAAATATACCATAATCTAAAGATCTGCATGATTTCAGGTGAAGGTGTGTGGCGGGAAAGGAATGTTTTGTTTTGACATCAGAGAGGCTTGTTAGAGTGAGTAAACTTACACCCTGTAGTGTTTCTCAGTTTTTCAATAATTTAATTTGACTAGACAGGATGTTTCATTTTTCATTAAATCGCAATTATGACTTAATATGCGTTGACCAAGAATTAATTTTCGTGCAATGGCTTTTGCGTTAACAAGAAATGATATAGTAATCGAAGTTGGCAATTAATATTCGCGTAACTGAAATGGAGTTTGATTGAAACAGAGTGCTGCAAGGAAATAATACATTTAAAGGTTTAATTATAAGGGCCGAATAATTGACGAGAAAGGATGGGAATAACTTACGAGCGTGAAATTTGTCAGTGAAACATATTTATTAAAAATCTAGTATTTCTCTACATTTGCAGTAAATATCACAGGTACATGTTTCTGTATCACAAGATCCCCTCCGTTCGGCCACTTCCTTTCGCTATTACGGCAATTATCTCAACAAGAGTACAAAATTTCCAAAATGATCATCAAATATGAAAATTAATACAATCGGCCGAGGAGATACGTACATATAACAACGTTTTTAGCGCGAGATCAAATGATTCTCACACCGATCCAGCCGCGAAAATCGTGACACTCGACGCAAGAAATGCAGAATCGGTGTGTCTCATGTGTCTACGCTATGGTTCCCGCGCTAAAATGGACAAAATAAAAAATATTCTTGATAAAAGTATGAAATAAACAATAGAAAACTCTAACTGTCAAGTAAATTAAAGCTCGAGCCGCGATCGTGCGGGCGTATCGTTACATCGAGATCCTAGCTGTATCAACTTTTACGTTATGTCAAATATACAAAATTTGTCCGTAGGGCGATACTACAAAGATGAACTTGCTTCAACATATATTCACACTCCCAAGTGTCTTGAGCAAATAGTATAAACCTTAAGTCTATTCCCTCTTCTTCGTTGTCTTCTTCGTCTTCTGTAAATCTTCGACTCTTCGGTAAATCGGATATTTGCACATCGACTTCTTAAAAGGACGTATCGACGGGAGTAAGCAGTCGTCCTCGTCGTCTCGAATTTCCAAGAGAAAAGGGATCGTTCCGCGTAGAGAGACCGAAGTTTCCTTTGATTCTTGTCACGATCTGCTTCGAAGGCACGCGAATTATTCGCTCAAATCACAGACAAAATTGCAACACCGGTAATGGTTCTTCGCGTGAACTGTTCTCTCCTTCTCTCTAAGATCCAGCCACGGAGGTTTCGTTTCTCCTCTTTCGTGGATTCTTATTCATTCTTATTCATTCTTATTCATTCGTCGAAAACTCGATATAACCGAGTGTGCCCGTCCAGGGTTCGTTGATCTTCCGTCTCGTTTACCACGGTCTCCAGATCAGCTCGTTCGGTTTGGCGACTTGCAGGAGGCCTTGGTGACTCTGCGAGATACCTTCGACGTCCGTTCTGACCGGCGGCGATGGCTGGCTGGAAGCCGGAGTGAGGGGCATCGAGTAATCGTCGGAGCTGAGCTCGCTGCTCGACGACGGGGACGACTGCGGCGCGGCCACGTGGATCGTCAGGGGTCCAGTCTTGTCCATCGAATTTAATTTGTGACCCAGATGGGTCATCAGTTTCGTCCCTAGGGCGACGTCGACGCCGGGAGTGGCGGCCAGGCATCGGCTAACCTCGTTGGCACAGTGCGTGTACCCGGCTCTGAATCGATCCGCGTCGATCACCGGGTTCGCGGAGAGACGCTGTTGCCTCTGCAACTTGTGAAGATGACGCACCGTTAATTCCAGAATGTCGGCTTTTTCCAGCTTCGCCACGTTCTCGCCGTCACCGGCTAAGGCCGTCACCATCAAGTCTTTGAGCTCGTCCAAGCACCGGTTGATTCGTGCCCGACGTTTGCGTTCTAGCATCGGTTTCATCACCTGTAAATTAAAAGAAACAAACATTATAGACGCTTGTTTTTTTTTTTTTTTTTTGAGGAAATTAATCTTCCGATTCGAGTCGAAGAATCGTACAATTCTGATTCAAGTTCTGTTTCGATTCTAATATTCTAATATTCTCTCTCTTTGCTCAAACTAAAAACCATGTCCGTTACTCGCAACGTAGGCAAAGCAGGAATCGAAAGGAATTTAAAAGACGCTTACCTTTCTGTACTGATAGGTCCTGGAGATCGGTTGCTCCTGTCCGTCGACCATCATAATCTGCTCGTGCATCTGCATGATTAATCCCTTTCGGCCGTACGTGTTAGCTTCACACACCGGTCAACCGAAACGTCGTCGCACTGATTGCCGAAAAAAACGGTCGAACGCTTGATCGCGACGATGGTCACACTCGAAACTCGTTTCCGCCTCCTGTTCCGTCGCGCAAACGGGTTAAGGTCGTTGTTCTCAGCGAATGACTGTTCGATCGATCGATTCGACGAGGGAAACGTATCGGGCGGGAGGAGAGAGATAGAGAGACAGGAAAAAAAAACAAAAAACTGGCGTATCAACGACGCGTCGTCTCCTCTGTTCGAACTTCGTGAACGATCACCGTGATTGTGGTGGCTGGCTCGGGCGAGGCTGTAGTTTATATAGTCAAGGACCCATCGGCAGGGTGGGGTGAGGGGCTGCTGTCAGGGTCCCAGGGTGGGGGACAGGCCTTCCGTGGGAACGGTCCGTAGAGGTTGGTTCCCAAGCAAGCACACCACCTGTAAGCGGCAGCTGCCAGACACGCGCCCACACCAAGCCATCGTCACCGTTTCGTCGTCCTCGTTGCACCTACCGTTTCTACCCGTATCTCCTATCTCTTCTGATCCATCCTCGGGTAGTCGTGCCGCGGTATGCACGGCTCCAACCTTCTCTCCTCTCTTTCTTTCGCCGCTCTCTTTCTTCATCGGCTCGCTGTTTCACGAAACGTGCGTTCATACGGAAGGACCCGGTATATGTATCGACGCGTCCTTTCCTCCTCTCCTTCAGCAGCGGGAGAGCTACACGGCGGGAGCAGAATCAGAAGAGAAAGAGAGAGAGAGAGAGAAGATCCACCTTCTCGTTCCACCTAGTCTTCCTCCTTTTTCCATTCTAGCGGACCCCGAGGAGGGCACCGCAACTCGTGCTACGTCTTCTTATCGTGATTTCGTCCTGGTCGTACGTTCTCACCGGCGGATAGTCTCGTCCTCGTCGGCGAGAACCGGCAGCTCGGTGAGAAGCGTGCTGGGCACAAGTCCGGCGTCCTCCCGATCGCAATCCCACTAGTTATACGTTGCACTGAATCATGGGTACGTGCGTCTATGTGTTGCCAACGAAACGCCGCGAAACGATAGCGCGCGCGCGCGCGCGCGCGTATACCTCATTTCCTCTCCCGCCAATTGATCAATCATTTTCTACCGTGTATATTAACTCAGTTGTCCCGTGAAAGACACTCCGCGCCGCTAATACGCGGAGACAAATGTTTGCGCGATAAAACTCGACGTTATGAAAAGGATGTGATGAATCGTTTGTTACGGGCAACGCGTGGGCGCTGGTCGCGTTACCAAATGCGATAATTAGCACTCGTTCAGGCACACTTGCGCTTCTGCTCGAAACGTAGGCACATTTTTCAATCTGCTCGAAACGTAGTTGGGGAATTCTTTTTTTTTTCTTTTTTTCCGGCTTTCGGAAACAGTTGCAAGGAATCGAAGATGTTAATTCGTTGTTTTAGAAAAATTAGAACTTCCAGTTTTGTCTTCTCGATACGAGAATCCTCGGATACGCTTACGTCAGACAGGGTTTCTTGACTGTTGAAAAAAGTTTAGGGAGTCTTTTTTAATTTACTCGTTGGGAATTGTTTCTTTCTTCGTGTGATCATTATTCGAAGAATATAATTTTCTTCCCGTTTTTAGTTTGAAGACTGTTCTGAAATGTTTCTTTCAGAAACACGCTACGCTTGTCTCTTCATGTTAATAACGGCCTGAATGATGAGTAATAAATTTGTAGTGTTCCGATAAATTTCACAATTTTCTATCACGTCGATTGAGCCAAGTCGAAATTTAAAACTGCATTGCCATAATTGTTATCGTTAAACACTTAATACATAGATTACAGATAGACCGAAATAGATGCTCAAACAATATTTTATTAGTCGATGTTACAAGTAATTCCGAACAAGGAAACGTTTTTGTAACTCGGTATCGTAATTTTTCACCTTGCGTGCCACGCAATTGTGTCGACAGCCAGAATTATCTAATTTTCACAGTGTAACAGGCCCCATCTCGTGCAACCCGCTTTTCAATCAGTTCTCGCTGTACTTACGCGCCAAACTGTTTGTCATTACCTCGATCGTTCCGTTTGAAAAGTCACAGTTACGTTCGCGAATCTCCCCGCGGAGCAAATAAAATTGTTCCAAAGTTGTCCGATCGAATAACCGAGCGAACAACTCTCATTCCAGGAACGATCTCTCTCATAACGCTCGGGAGAAGTGATTTTCATGGCTCCGCTGTACTTATCTGCCTTGTACGTACACGCGGAATCGTCTCGATTTAAATCGTGCGATTGTACCGAACGGGAAAGAGATTTTCAGTTTGGCCGATTCAGATCGGCGATCAGAGACCGAAAATTGGTCGAAAGTAGCCGCGGGCTTGGACTTGCACCGGGAGCCGGGGTTTAATTTTCGCGAAAAGACGCTCGTAAAGATCGTCTCTTTCGCTCCTCTTCTGGATAGTCATCGTCCGGAATGAATAACTCCGACCACGTTGCCTCACGTGTACATCCTGCCGGTCGCTGGAAGCACTTCCAGATACTAATTTCGTCGAGGCTTTTGCTGAATTATATCCTTCGTACGTACCCCCTTCCAATCCTTTCCTTCGCTATCCTTCTCCGTTCCTTCGATTATTTCTTTTTTTTTTCTTTTTTTTTCTTTTTCTTTTTCCCCGCTCGCCTCGTCTCGGCATCCTCTTGCCAACTACCTCGCTTATTTCCACCGCGAGTCGGGCACTTAAACATCGTTCGCACCGAATAATTACGCACGTTAGTTTCATCCTTCTTCCCCCGTCCTGGCTCTCCCTTCTCGCCCGGATCACCTTCTCTTCTTGCTACCGCGATTTTACGAGGCATCCTTCGTCTTCTTCTTCTTCTTCTTCTTTTTCTTTTTCTTCTTCTTCTTCTTCGTGTCTGTACCTTCCTTGGCTTTTCTTCTTTTTTTCTTCCCCTCTCTTTTTTGCTACTCCCTTGAGCCAGCCAATTGCACGTGTCCCTAACGATGCCGGCACCTCCGTAGAACTTCACCAACTCTCTCGATGCCAAGATAACGCGAAACTCTTCAATCTCTTCTTTCTCTCGTTCTTTGCTGGCCGCATGTCCAGCAGCCTTTACAGCTTTTAGCTTTTCGATTCCCTCCTTGTCGCCTGCACCCGTGGTTTCTAATTAAAAAGCCTCTGCCATTGCGTTTCTCGATGTACTACGCAAGTGCGCAGTCACCGGTTTAGGTGTAGTATAGTCTTATTCTCATCCGAGTTTTCTACGTTTGGAATACCCATTTGACCTCCGTAATTTCGATTTAGAGAATCATTGGCGGAGGATAGATTCGTTTGTAGAACTTTGCACGAGAGGTACATTTATTTTTAGTAATAAATATTTATTTGTACATTTTGTATAATTTATACGTACGAAGCTAACCGTATAATTTTCTCCTAAACTATTCGTTGTAGAGAAAAATATTTTAAATAAACCTTACCTTGTTTCAAGAAGTACCATCTTATGGTGGTCGCAAATCTTGTCTAGATAGTCTTATTTCCGAGATTTCAAGGTGTGTATTTTGTATATTTTCGAGTTCAGAGTCTTGTAAGTGACATCAAGATGAATTTAGCGACCTGGATAATGTTGGTGTTCCAAGATCAATCAGGATCATTCAACGTCGCTCAAAGTTCATTTTCGTTTAATACTCGGAGATTGTTTCTTATCTATGATGTTGAAAGGTGACTAATTTATTCTGATTTATTCCCTTGATATTTATAATGAATCAACGTTTAAGAAATAAGAAAAAAAGTAGTATACCGCGTAACTGCGATCGTTAACGTAAAATTATCATTATACTTAAGTCGCTTTAATACTGGAAATACCGATGACTAAGCATAAAATTTACAACAGGGTACACAAGCCTTTATTTATGTATTTTACGAAGAATCATTCAAGTCTCCAAAAATACACATACAGTTTCATATTCTATGAACTATCCGACAAAAATACTCACAAATGGTTATTTTAACCATTTTTATCGGTAGATCTAGTGTTAAGCACTAAACAACCAAGCGAGTGAATTCTTCAACGCCTAATCTAAGTGTACCTTAATACTTGGTTTCTCCGGTCAGTAAAAAAAAAAAAAAGTGAAAATGAAAAACCTCGGTTGAAGTCTCTGGGGTGCTTTAATAATCGACCACGTTGCCGACGTGATAAAGGAGGGAAGATTACGCGACGGGGTGCCGAAAAGTGATGCCCGCGTCAGATTGAAACCTAATGGCAACCTTCTGGTTAACGTCGAGGAACGACAGCCGCACGAAATCTAGACGACAGTGATGAACAGAAGTTAAAGGGTGTCGCGCGTTTCTCGCATTCCAAAACCCGGGGCCCGCCGTTATCGCGAACGTGGTCGTCCCGGCCTGCCACTCGTTTCATTTTCTCGTCTCTCTCTTGGCGAAATTAATTACGCCGATAAAAGTGAAAGAACATATTAACAGGGGATTTTTTTTTCTCTCTGTCTTTTGTCTCTTTTTCCTTCTTCTTTTCGTTTTTAAATGTGGCTTGCGATTGTTTCCTTTTTCTGTTGGATCGCCAATTCATCTGCATTTTTACGCTTTCACAAACGTATCACTGATTGAAGGAGGAATTTTATGAATTTTCGGCAAAACAGCAAATGAAGCTCTCGAAAGAATGTCGCGAATTAATTAAAGTCTCCAAAATCATTACGCGCGATAGTTTCCAAATAACATTTCCAAGAAGATTCAGAACCTTGGAGTTTCTAAAATTCCAAAGCTAAGTAAAAGCTCAATAAAGGTACATATTTGGAATTTCTAAAATTCCCAAACTATCAATAAAAATGCGTACGTATGCTGTAATTAATTTTAAACGAATCTCAACGAGAATTCAGAGCAAACTTCACGCGAATCGCATCGATTCAAAGGCCGAGTCCGTCGAAATTTTCTTTTCTAACGCAACGAAGCAAAAATGCCCGTTTATTCGATGAATCAAGACGCGTTTGTTAGATACAGAGGGACAGAGAGGCTATTATCATCCCACGTGAATTGTACGGCGATGAAAAAAACAGTCCATTAAAACGACGCAGTCGATGAAACAGACTTAATGTTGCCACGTGCCGGCTCAATTTCAAGTCAGCTTCCTCTCACGTGCCGTTCATTGTTCGTTGTTTTTACGTGATCCGGGTGGGCAGCAGGGAAGTTCCAACTGCGTCAGCGGATAATACAAATAGTGAATTCACCGTCTCGGTTAGTCGCACGTGGACGATTACGCGTGTTATAGCTTTCAGACGACGCAAGCACGTGCTGAACTATCGTGGCATACGTGGACGTCGTACATGTGTTAAGTGAAACGGTATATATACAGGCACGATCGATATAACACGCTCGCGATGTAACGCAATTTTCACGCCTCTACGCGTCTAATCCGTCGTTCAATTTTCGTTTTGTAATTCAAATGGATGACTCAATGTTGTCCACAAATCTCGCGTATTTTCGTTGAGTAATAGATTGTTGAGTTGTTCATTTCTAACGTGTCGAGTAAGGATAGATATTTAGAATGTAGGAATTTAGTATCTAGTATCTCCTTTATTCAGTATCACGTGAAAATAGATAAATAAATTATTGATACTATTATTTCTAATTAT